CTTCCCCGTCCCGCGGTCTTCTTCCCCCAGCACCGCCACGTTCTCCTGGCAGCGTCATGCTAACTAGCTCTCTCCGGAGGATCCCAGTGCTCCCCCCGCGTGGGACGCCGTACGCTCGTACCAATACATCCTTTGCCATCTTCACACATTACTCACATCTACAAATATGTCCTCAGCTACGCTATTACGTGTATGGACCCTTGCCACAGCTACACAGCGTATGTTTTCTCTCTCCACGTTCCCTTCACTTCACCACAGAAGTCTATACATGGCACCCTGTAGACCCATTTCACTTCACTGCATCAACGTGCCTCCCCACCCACCGCCCTGTCCCTCCTCCATGCTGCTCCTGACTCACAAACCTTTCTCACTGTACCATGACATTACACTCCTCTACCCCCATGCTGGTTCATGCCCTTCTCCAGCCCCACCTACTCATCTCCCAGATGTGGTGACACCTGTCACCTCCCCACCATCAGCATATGGTACGTATGCCATTTCTCTGTACATCTGCTTCGCGCTGCTGCACCCTCGTGTGCCTCAGCTGGTAGCTCCATGCAATCTCTCCAGTGCAACTCCATACCCTCCCAACACCCGCACACCAACCTCCTGCCAGGTGCTTTCACACACCTTTCTCCCCTAACACAGTCATACACCCTTTGCACGCCGCTTCCACATGCTCTCCTCACTCATCACACCAACACACCTCCACCTGGTATCACCACGCACCAGACCACCTCTTACAACCATATAACCCTACAACCTCACCATGTCTGCCTATCACTCCTGCCTCGCTCCACCAATCCCAAACACTTCATCCCCACGAAGCATCTCATGGCGCGTGTACATCACCTACTTCACCATCCCATGCTCAAATACTTTTCTTCAAAGGCAACCAACAACTGGCACCTATCTCCCTGCCTCACCACAATTCCTAGTACTCCTCAGCTCAGTGTTCCCATTTCCCTGCTCCTGCTCTGTTGCTTCAAACACTGTCCCCAGGCAGGAGCATCCTTCTCCTCCATCATACAAAATTATCCTATTCCCTCACTCATCCTTACTACTCTTCTCCAAAAACCTGCTCTTCCTGTTACCATTTCTCAATATTTCAGTCCCCTACACTGCCCCTGCCTTACCAACATGTTCCATGTTTATACCTACCTGGCTTTTCAGTCCCTTCCACGGGCGCTTCAGTTTCTCATCCTCCTGGTCATTCATAGATACATGAATCTCCAAGCACATTCACACAATAAATACTTGATCATACACTCCATTCCATAGGTTCCTCTACATCATATATCATAGACTCACAGAAATGTTGTTCACAAGGGACCTCTGGTGATCATCTAGTCCAGCTTTCTGCTCAACACAGGGCTATCAACCAACACTAGTTTCCATCACCTGTGGCTTTTAGGATGAACAAACGGTCCATGAGCCCTCTGGGCAACCTGTTGTGTGGCTGTGCTCTCCTCCTGATGAAAACGTTTTTCCTAATATCTCACCGTGTATCTGCCACTACCAAGGAAAAAATGGTTCTGATATTTTTGCAACTATTCTTCAAGTAAGTGTAGGCCACCATTAGAGTGCGCCTTTGCCTTCTCTTCACCACACCAAACAAGTCCAAGCCCCCTCAACCTCTTCTAGTGGATCCTGTGCTGTAGACCCCTAACCATCCTGTTAGCTCTCTTCTGTCCCCTTTCAATTTCTCTCCATCCCTCAGGCTCCCCCTTAATATTTTCCTCCATTCATCTCCTAGGAACTTGCAATGAACCTCACCTCCCATCTACATTTTTAACATTGCCCTTTTCCAATATAAACAGTGACATGTCTACTATTAATTACAACATACATCTACTTCCATGCAAATACCAACAATGTTGTTATATGCACTAATGCAAGGACTGTTTCCCTCACAAATTACAAGCTCTTAGTCTTATGTAGGTTTTTATGTTGGTTGTTGTGCAAAAAAGCTTGTTTGCTTTTCCCACATACATGAATTGATATAATAAAATACACTGGATCTTCCTACAAACCTGGCCTCATTGAATTCCCCTCATATTAGCAGACATAGGTTGAATAGCATAGAACAGAACAGAATAGAATAGAATAGACTATTTCAGTTGGAAGGGACCTACAACGATCATCTAGTCCAACTGCCTGACCAACTCGGGTCTGACCAAAAGTTAAAGCATGTTGTTAAGAGCATTGTCCAAATGCCTCTTAAACACTGACAGGCCTGGGGCATCGACCCAGGACCTCTAGGAAACCTGTCCCGGTGTTTGACCACCCTCTCGGTAAATGCTTCCTAATGTCCAGTCTAAACCTCCCCTGGCACAGCTTTGAGCCATTCCCACGCGTCCTGTCACTGGATACCAGGGAGAAGAGCTCAGCACCTCCCTCTCCACTTCCCCTCCTCAGGAAGCTGTGGAGAGCAATGAGGTCGCCCCTCAGCCTTCTCTTCTCCAAACCAGACAAGCCTATGAGGTCCTCAGCCGCTCTCCTCATAGGACATTCCTTCCAGCCCTTTCACCAGCTTTGTTGCCCTCCTCGTGACGCGTTTGAGGACCTTCACATCCTTCTTAAATTGTGGGGCCCAGAGCTGCACACAGTACTCCAGGTGAGGTGCACCAATGCTGAATACAGCGGGATAATCGCCTCTTTTGACCGGCTGGTTATGCTGTGTTTGATGCACCCCTGTATATACATCCAACCTACGGTCAGGGCAACCCCTGGAACATCTACTCAGTGGTGCCCCCCATGAGCTCTGCTCCATATGCACACTGGCTACATTCTGACTCAGCGTCAGGAGGTGAGCAGGCTGCACATCCCTGTCCCTCCTATAGGAAACCCGGGCACATAGCAGATTCACACTCCAAAAAGATGGACCTCTGATGGGAAGAAATGGGGGTCTGGTACTGAACACCCGCAGCAGAGGTGTCTTCCTTGCAGTCAGCGCACCCACCGTGCACCCCAAAACAACGACCGTGGGACACACCTCTGCTTCACAGCACAGACCCAAGCATTTCCTCCAGCCCTCAGCTACCTTCAGAGAGACCCAGATCAGTCTCAGATCACTCACTTCAGCAACCCAGGGTCCAACTCTTACCAGCCTCTCCATTCCTTCACACCCACACCTACCCCCGCACAAACGGAAAGCTGGAGGAAACGCCTGTCTTTTCATACCCACAGAGAACCACAAGGACTCCTCTCTTGCTTTATCCACATACAGAAAAGTTACACCCTTCTGCCTTCCCCACTTCTGTAAAAAGGTTGAAAATCAACCTTTCCAAGAACATACCTAGGCCCAGCGCAAGGTTTAATTAATCTACAAAATTAATTTCAATGTATTGGAAGTTTGAACAGAGAAGGTAATAACATGAACGCAGGACAGTGAGCCCTCCTGCCTGTTGGCACGAGCCACCCTGGAAGGCAATCTTCCAAAATACTTGGCACTACAACTTGCTTTTTGGACCTTTAACCTTTACTGCAATACCTAAGGTTCAGTACATCTTCCATTCAGATTCTTCCATCACTTACCACGACATTTTTTTTAATTCAGAAAGATACTGTGTGGTGTTTGTAACACTGCAGTCTTCTCCTGCAAAGGTGACATTTCTGCCACCTCATTTTCCACAAACAGGACCTCCAGCAATTGCTACCTTCAAAGAAATTTATTTAACATTTTTTATATATATCAAATATAGGTCTGCCTGGTTTACCACTGAACTTTGCACTGCTCTCACTCCTGAAGTATTAAGAAAATATGCCACTAATGTCCTTTAGAGCTATTTCTAATATACTGCAGACTCACTTCCATTTACAGTGTATAATTACACTTTTATTTGTAAGCAGCTAGATTTTTAAAAAATGCTCAAATACTGACTACTGTCCAAAATGTTCATGCCTCGAATTCCTTAAAACACCTTGAAAACTTGTATTTGGATACTTTTCCTAGTCAAAGGAACTGTTAAGTTGTACATAATGAAATCTATCTCCCAAAAATCTGCTCTATTTGACATAGGAGAAATTTCTTTACATAGAAAACACGTGAATTTTGTAAACTACCAATTTGTGTGTCAAGCAGAAGCCTGAAAAAGCACACATGCAATAAGAGTCTTCAACTCACAGATGCATGGGTTTAATAAAAAATCCCCTTATTTAAAGCCAGCAAAGTTAAACCAAACCCGTGGATATGCTTGTTTTCCTCGACCGATGTATTTAGTTAGCAATGTCCACATGGAATTTCATGCAGTTCCAACTAAACCTGCTTTAACTGAATGTGACCTGGCAGTGGTGCATCACTAAGCTGAGGAGAGGCACAAGCTGCCCAGGTATCTCAATGCAGGCAGAAAGACAGAAACAAAGTGATCAAAAAGGGCAGACTCAGCGCGTACGTGTTTCCATCCCCTTTCTTTCTCTCTTTCTCTCTCTTTCTCTCTTGCTCTCTCTCTTT